TCTGGACCAGGTTAACCAGACGCTCATCTATAACTGAGTGATATAACAGATTCGATTAAATGACGGTTCCGTATAGGATACAGGTTCGGAGGACGCCTATTTTCTATGACGATTTCTCGGATATTCAGGCCAGTAAATGTCATTAATACTGTTTATTATAAACAGAGCATTTACTTAAATATTTGTATCTATAAAAAGAACGTATAAACATAAAGAATGTCTTAAAATAATTATTAGAGTTTGTCTATTCCATATATATAGTTTATCATTTTGGGGGACTGGAGTTTATATTCTTGCCCAGGTGACATAGAAATAGCATGTTTTAATGCCGTTAAAATCATCACGTTTTTATGAGTTCAAATGACATTTTATTTGATGCATTTAAATGATGCTTTACTTGATCTGTTCTTAAGAATTTCTGTTTACTTGATGCGTTCAAAAGACGCTTTCTTTGATCCATTCAAATGACAATTTATTTCATATTACGCTTTGATTTATTTAAATGGAGCCTTTCTATGCATTATTAAAATGGCGCCTTTGTTTGCATTAAATAATTCTTTATTTAATACACTCAAAGTACTCTTTGAATCATCCAAATGATGCCGTTTTATGCGCTAAAATTATGCTTTATTTATTGCGTGCAAATGGCGCTTTATTCGACGTATTAAAATAACACCTTATTTGATGCGTTCAAATCACACTTTATTTGATGTATTCTAACGAAAATGCCTTTTATGTGTCCAAAAGCTTGTTTACGTTGAAAAGACGCTTCCTTAGATGCATTCAAATGACACTTTAATATGTTCACATGACGCTGATATTAATTCAAATGACGCTTTTTATGCGTTAAAATTACGCTTTATTTAATACGTTTAAGTGACGCGTTATTTAATGTTCAAATGACGATGTGATGTGTTCAAATGATGTATTTCTGTTATAAAACGTTGCTTTATTTGAGTCGTATAAATGACACTTTTTTATGTGTCAAATGAGGCTTTATTTGATGCATTGATCTGTTCAAATTTCGCCTTACCTCATGCAGTGAATTTTGCCTCATCAAATTTCGCCTGATCTCATGCATTTAATTTCGTCTCATCAAATATCGCCTTATCTCGTGCATTGAATTTCGCCTCATCAAGTTTCGCCTAATCTCATGCCTTTCATTTCGTCTCATCAAATTTCGCCTTATCTCGTGCATTGAATGTTGCCTCATCAAATTTCGCCTAATCTCATGCATTGAATTTCGCCTCATCAAATTTCGCCTGATCTCATGCATTTAATTTCGTCTCATCAAATATCGCCTTATCTCGTGCATTGAATTTTGCCTCATCATGTTTCGCCTAATCTCATGCATTTCATTTCGTCTCATCAAATTTCGCCTTATCTCGTGCATTGAATGTTGCCTCATCAAATTTCGCCTGACCTCATGCATTTAATTTAGCATTGTCAAAATTGGCCTGATAACATGCATTTACTTTCGCCTCATCCAATTTCGCCTTTTAATTTCACTTATCAAATTTCGCCTCATCTCATGCATTTAATTTCGCCTCATCAAATGTTGCCTCATCGCATGCATTTAATTTCGCCTCATCAAATTTCGCCTTATGCATTTAATTTTGCCTCATCAAATTTCGCCTTATCTCATACATTTAAATGACTTTTTATTCTAAAATTTCAAATGTAGCATTATTTGAAGCGTTCAGAAGAACTTTAGATTAAAATGTGTGTTTGACATTAATTTTCGATTGTGTTTAATTAAAATAATTATCCCACAATGACTGTCCACCTTTCTTCGAAATAATTTTAATATTAATTCTTTTTGATGGAAGGTTTCAGTAAATAAAAACTCTGTAACAGTTTCAAGCATCGGCTGTAGAGGAGATGTGAACGGGAGATTTCTGAAAAACACAACGTAAAATTTAATAAAACTAAGCATAAATAAAACCTTTTCGTCTTTGTAGTCTCTTTTGAGAATTTTCCCGTGAAGTTATTTTCAGTTGACATCATGGCTAAAGGCATTCAACAAAATGGCGCTGGTTTGAGATTCGAGAAAGATGGCCGGTAAAGACACAAAGAAAAACTGTGTGATATATTGGGGGAAGTGGAAATAATCTCTAATGGTTAACTAACTGAACAAGAAATTAAGTGGGCAATTTAAGAAATGAAAAAGGGGAACTTAAATAAAAAATGACCAAAGGGTAAAAAGATGGCGCCCAGTTCTAAAAGAAGAACTCTGTAAATCTTCATTTTTTATGCTTTTCTCAATAAATCAGATGAATATGCACACATAGAAAACATACGTACGCATATTCAAATCAAGCCCATTAACAAGATTGGCAGAGGGGAGTGAAACAGTTATCGGCGGAGAAAATTATTTCGACATGCCGAGTTCAAATGCTGCTCGATTCGTTACTTCTCCTTAATACGCTTGGAAAAGACATGAATCCCCCCGCTACAGGTTAAATAACAGAGTAGTTTTTACTCTTTTGCCTTGAGGTGACAATCAGTCTAGGGGAAGGGAAACTGTGAATTCAGAACTAGTCTTCAAAGGATCATGATGCGTCAGACTGTCTTAACCAAGATACGTCCTATCGTTATGAATGAAGTATATGTTGCTCCATTTCAAACTTAAAGGGACTACGGGACTCATGAGGAGTAATGGATAGTGGCTCAGATTGAGGAATCAGAGAGCCGAGTTCGAATTCCAGTCGAATCCATTACATTCACTTACGTGCTAAGGTATAAATGAGGAAAAATATGAATCCTCTTCTTCTCCCTCATTCCCAGCCTTTCGGATGGCAACTGGTCTACCGCAGAAAGAAATGGCAACCTACTGTTGGGAAAAAAATCAGCCTCGTTATGTGCCTAAGCGTGTATCACGCATGGCACATAACTGACAGGCATGTGGCTTCCTTACAGGCTTAAAGGGCTACAGAACTCGTGGCGTAAAGCAATCGTGAGAAGGTACGATGGAGTAATGGATAGCGACTCTGATTGAAGAATCGGAGATCCGAGTTCAAATCTATTGCATTTTAGTTACGTGCTAATAACCTTGGGAAAGGTATGAATCCTACTCTTCTCTCCCCAGCTATGGGTAAATAGCAGGACAGACGGATGGTAACTGGTCTACCGCAGAAAGAAGTGTCAAAAAAAAAATCTGCTTGGTCAGTCATGATCACTCATGCCACATAACTGACTAACATGTGGGGTTCCCTTACAAGGTTAAAGGGATACGGGACTCGTGACGTAAAACAATCATAAGGGTTTCGATATTAAATGGATGGCACACGGTTTTTTTTTTAAATTTACGAAAAATGGTGGAAATTTAATGAACGCAGGAATAATATTATAAATATATCGATTGGAAAAAGAGGCCTAATGTTTTTCAATAGGTAAAATATGAGAAAATTATTTCGTTTTACTCTTGAATGAAATTTATTATACACCCTTGGGCAAATTAATTGAAAGAACTGCTTTAATTTTTCTTCATACGGTCAGTTTTAGACCCACTGGAGTGACAGGGTGAAATCGATTTCTATTTTTTCCTCAGATTAGGTCATTTAAAGCGGTGTGCAGTAATGTGAATCTATTTTCGGGGTGTGTAATGAAATTTGTTTGGCCTTGAAACATATTCCGTCATCCGAGCTTGCCTCAGATTTTTATCACACGCAGACACTATTGTTTCGACTGTCGATTAGTTGTCCTATGGCCACTGACAGCGATGGACGTTACTCCAAGGAAGCGTACGAATATTGTAATGATGCATGAACACACTGGCAGTCCTTACCAGAGAGCAAATCAAAAGTACTATAGACTCTCCTGTTTTAAATTCAATCTGTGGTCAATCTGCAAGGAATGACTTCATAGAATGGACATACGAAGTACTAACATGTGTCCTGGGTCATGTTTGGAAAAATACGGAAAAAAGGAATTATTCGTTTTGTTTTAATTAATTTGCACATGGTTGTATGTGTACATATTACGAAAAGTGTCATCGCAACAACTTTCTCTATAAGATTCGTGTGTGGATTATGAATTTTAAATATTTCTAAGTTAAATGGGAAGCTAGAAATGCATTCTTGTCATTTGATGCTGAATTATGTTTAGGCAGCTTTTTCGATTTGGCCTTCATCATCGACTGCAGACCTGCAGAAATGTTCTTGATTTTCCAGATTAGATTTCTTCTTCTGAACATAATGAACCACTTACAAACACTACTTTTAGCTACGGCACCATCAACATAAATGGCACATATCTCTTTTGCTGTTGTTGTTTATATACCTTTTTTTTTTTTTTTTTTTTTTTTTTCCTTATTTTCATTCGTTTTCACTTTTAACGCAAAAACATTTAAAAATCATTATCCACACACGAACTATCATAAATTTCAGTCGCGTTTAAAACGAGATCTCGTATTCAAATTTCTTGCTTCCCAATCAACTCTGATCTTGTAAAAATTTAAATGTAATGCCAATTGTTATCTTCTGTCTTCTTAATTCTTGTTCTGTTAATGTTCTCTCCTTAATAGTAGTTATTCTCATATCCTCTAACACTCAGTACCCCATCTTGCGTCTTAGTGGCTTTATTGCCTTGTCGTGGAGACAAACGATTAAAATTTAGGTGCTATACCAATCTCCTGTCTTCTAAATTCTTTTTCTTTTATTCTCCTCTATCTTTAATAATAGTTTTTTCTCATGTTCTCTAACACTCACTAACCCTTTGCGCCATAGTGGCTTTGTTGCCTTGCCTTGGAGAGAAACAATTAAAGTTTAAATGCAGTATCAATAGTTATCTTCTGTCTTCTTAATTCTTGTTCTTTTATTGTCCTCTCTTCTTAATAGTAGTTTTTCTCATATTCTCTAATACTCAGTACCCACCTTGCATCTTAGTGGCTTTATTGCCTTGCCTTGGAGAGAAACGATTAAAATTTAAGTACAATATCAATCGTTATCTCCCGTCTTCTTAATTCTTGTTCTTTTATTGTCCTCACTCTTTAAAAGTGCTTACGGTCAAATCACGCTGAAAACACCGGTTCTCGTTCGATCAGCGAAGTTAAGCATCGTAGAGCCAGGTCAGTACTTAGATGGGGGACCGCTTGGGAACACCTGGTACTGTAAGCCCCCAAAGTTCAACCCTTACCTCACAGTCGGTGGGGGGTGTAAACGGTAGTGTCAGAGCTATGCCGTCCGGAACTTTGTTCCTGGTAGGGCCACCCAAGGCGGACATGTCTGACACACACGCCGGCTAACAAGGGCTCTGGTGAAAATCCAAGGAGCGTCTGCGTCGGTAACCGGCGGCTTCTGGTCGTTCCTGTCTCTGCGTATGTGGGAACCCCGCGGCAAGCAAGAACGTTATCCGAGTAGGCCTGGGTACCCTACTTCTGTAATTTATCCCAAGAATCTTCTTCTCATAATAGGAAGAAACCGGCTCAATCCGCCCAGGGTGAATGCCGCATCACACACACACACACTCTTTAAAAGTAGTTTTTCTCCTGTTTCCCTAATACTGAATAACCTTTTTTCCATCTTAGTGGCTTTATTTCCTTTTTTGGGGAGAAAAGTTTTTTTTTTTTTTTTTTTTTTTTAAGCAGACATATGCACATTAATCAATATGCTGAATATGTATGTATGATTTTTTTCATGCCATCGGTCAAAGGTTGTTCAGAATGTTTTGAACAGAATCAAGGTGACAACACTAGAATAGACCGTAAACAATCCAGATCTAAAGCCAATAAAATGTTCATAGGCTATTAACAAAGTTGCAACACAAAACATTCTTCAAGTACCAAAATACTGAGAAAGGCTATTAAGCAAAAGCCTAAAGGAAATCACGGGGGATTATTGTAAGAATTTGATTCTCATCCAACCCTGCGACATCCAAGAAGTAATCAAAAGCAAAAGAATCAATAAAAAAAATGCTCATTTCCTTGAAAGGAATAGGGTTGATCAAGTGGAAAATAGTAAGTAAAACTGAATCAATCTCCAATAAATTACTTATTACAGAGTTGTTTTTTAAATTTAAGATGGTAGATTGAAACATTTGTCGATATATATATACATCTAATTAATTCATGGCGTCTAGCAGAAGCCTCAAGATAAATGCAGAAAGCACTAGACACTTCGTCCTATATTTGGGACTAATCGGCAGTGTAAATCCACTACCGATAATTGAAACCTGGATTGTTACTATATCAGCCAAAAGTCATACCAACTGTACCAACGGGCCTCGGTGGCGAGGAGGCAAAGAATTAGACTCGATATAGCGCTGCTTGATCACATATTCCGTGGTGGAAAACGGGCCACGACTACTATCTCCAAGCCGCTCTATCCAGAAAATTAGAAGGCGGTTCAAGCAATGAAATACAAGAGATAGAAATTATTAGGAGAAATTGAGATAATATCATAATTAATTCATCGATGAATTACGTAATTATGATTATCTCACATCCTCCTAATAATTTCTATATATATATATATAGATAGATAGATAGATAGATAGATAGATAGATAGATAGATAGATAGATAATATTAGTGGTCAATACACACACACACACACACACACATATATATATATATATATATATATATATATATATATATATATATATATATATATATATATATAATATGGAATATAAAAGGCTCCAAACACTAATTCTCTGATGAATTGGATCGTGATTAAAATTCCAATGTAATAAATTATAACCATGGAATATTAGTGATATATACTTTTATATATATATATATATATATATATATATATATATATATATATATATATATATATATATATATATAGTACAAGTAATTGGTTAGTTGGTATATAATCCGGATGAAACCTACTAATATTAGTTATTAAAACTGATCCACAGAGAGCTATTATATAACAGCATATATGTATTTTATACAGCAAAAAAAAAATGATCTCAACATAGAGACTGATTATAGCTGCGTATGAACACGTACTCCCTGTTGATGTAATATCTGTTTTTTGTAATATATATATATATATATATATATATATATATATATATATATATATATATATATATATATATATATATATCAAAACATCCTGCTGAGTATCACAAACTTTTTTACACACTTTAGCGTCCAGGATGTTTCTCTCTCACATATTTGAACATTATCTGTGATGTCATTACACGTGACACATATCTAACCAATAAGAAATAGCCAAACACAACATATATTTCCATTAATCTGCGTCTCTTTGCTTTTTATCATTTTTCTAATTTCTATCTTCATCCCTGAGGAAGCTTTAATAAAGTGAAACGTCTTACATTAATATCTGTTTCTTACTTATTCGTTATCCTATAATTTTGTCGCATTCCTATCCATACTCGATCTATATCTACCTATGAAAGATGGCCCTAGTCGTAATCCGAGTTTCAGGCTAACGTGAGAACGTGAAACTCGGATTATGACAAGGGCCATCCTTTCATAGGAATTAACGTTGTCAAGCTTTATTTGCTCTGACTCGGTAATCCCGGCACTGAGCACTTTACTGAGTAGGTAGGTGTTTGCCTCTAGGTCTCTTTCCTATTGCTATACTTGTTCGAGATTTTCTCTTGACTAAGGGTTGGCAAGTTGTCCATTGGTTTCACCATGTAGAACTGTGTAGCGAAAAAAACCATATATTAAATCAATTAATTTATAATATTAATGCTCTGCAAATTTACATTGAGCACTATTTTGTAAAAATAAAAACATCTATAAGAACACCGGATTATATATCTTACTGTTCTTTCTTTAAATATATATATATATATATATATATATATATATAGTACACAATAAAATCCAAAGTTATCTCATAGTGAGAATAGGTTTATTTCAACCGACAAAAAATTCTCATTCAACCCCAGTATAGACTAAGTTCGTGTCGGAATTAGAAATTTAACTGTGGCAGTTGCAAAAGAAAACGTCGAAGAACTAATTCAGAATTTATCCATTTCAATGTTTCAGTCAGACGAAAGGCACAAGACAGTGGTCAGAGGTGGGTGGAAGGTATCAGTCTTAAAGGGAAGATGTTTTATAAAAATTAAACCCGAATATTAATCTTATGATATTAAATTGCGGTTATCTGAAGAATGAAATGTTAGTTTGAAATTAAGAGAGGAATAAAAAAAGGGGTTAAAAAAGAAAACTTAAATTATCTTTTTCTTTCAGATTTAAAACCTTAAGTCTTTGGCAATTTCAAGCATGGAAAGATTAACAATCAAACAAATATCCAGAACAACAAGCTCCAAACTGGTTGGCAGTGATGCTGAAAAATTAATCCATAAAAAGATATATGCAACAGAAATCATGGCAGCAAAACCAGGCATGATGAAGACGAGATACTCTACTCTTTGCATGGTCGATATGGCACTAAGCATATATATATATATATATATATATATATATATGATATAATATAAAAGGCTGAAACACTAATATTCCCCGGTTATAATTTATTACATTGGAATCGTAATCACGATCCAATTCATCAGACCTACAAATTCAAAAAGGAATCGGAAAATATAACAAAATTTTAGTGAGAGTGTATGTTGTTAGACATTTTGACGGTCGTCCTCGAATCGAGAGGTTGGCAGTGAATATTTCGGAGACAGTAGGAAAGCGTAGTGCAGGTTCGCAGTGGATATCTCAAAGTAGCAGAGCGTAGTTCTTCCGTCTGTCATGTTCGCCTGAGAAGTTGGCTCTGGTCATTCCGGTAGAGAAAACAAAGATGGCCGCCTTTATACACGACGGATACAGTGTTCTACGGCTTCTGATTGGTCAACCGTCTATTGGTCGACTATAAAGGGAATTAAGTCATTTTGATTCGCTCACTAGTTACATACATATATACACAAAATCTGTAACATATGTATGGGGGTGGGAAACAAGTGTGAGAAGGAAATTTATGAGAGCTCTAGAGAGAGAGGTGACAGAAGAAAGAAGAGCAGGAAGGCTTAAAGTTGAAGGTAGGGATTATATTCTTACTCTGTCCTGGACATTGAGTTCTACCCGGATTCTATCTTCTTGGGAAGATATATATATATATATATATATATATATATATTACAGTTCAAATGTTTGAAACTACCCCTAGAATTACCATGGGGTGAACAGAAGAATGAAAAAGAGCTCTTAGAGTGATTGAAAAAGAATGGAATGAATTATTAAACTTATACTTTGAGAACTTTTGGCAACAAATGTCAAAACATTCTACTGACGACAGCAAAAATTTAATCATAAGATTCTTTTTGCCCTAATAAAATTTCTAATAAAAATTCACGTCTTACCATATATATATATATATATATATATATATATATATATATATATATATATATATATATATATATATATATATATATATATATGATGAGGCACACGGTGGAGTAATGGATAGCGGCTTGGATTGAGGAATCGGAAAACCGAGTTCCAGTCGAATCCATTACATTCACATACGTGCTAATACCCTTGAAAAAGGCGTGAATCCTCTTCTTCTCCCTCCAACTATAGGTAAATAGCAAGACAGACTGGGTTCTATAGCCTTGGATGGCAACTCGTCTAGGAGAAGGACAACTCTGAATTCAAACCCAGAGTGGATCCCCTAAGGCGGATGGACGGCATTTAGTGTTATCTTCCGGCAACTCCTGCAGCCGCGTTGGTACCAAACTGTATTGGTTTATACTTCCTCTCCTTTGGACTCTGCTAGCAAGGCCGAGAGAGGGGAACTAGACGCCCGGGCAGCCCTAGTTCTCCATATATCCCGCCCAGGCTCATAGCGCATCGCGCTAGTCCATCGTCTCTCGAGACGGACGCATGCCGACGATGACGATATATATATATATATATATATATATGTGTGTGTGTGTGTGTGTGTGTGTATTTCTCCAGTCAGAAAGAATCCTCTTAAAAATGTTTTATTAAATAATATGGACAATTTCTCTCTATCATAATTTTTGATTAAATCTTTAAAATTTTCGAATTGCTCGAAGATGAAAAGGAGACAACACAATAGAAATGTGGTTCTACAGAAGGATGTTGAGAATACCCTGAACAGAACAAGACTGAACTAGGCAGAATATTTTCCTGCAGTAGTTAGT